GTATTATTAATTTACTAAAAAAAACACATTTTTTCCACAAATTATTTATTTTTGTTTTCGATAATATTTTTTTTTCTTATTATGTGTGTGCTAATTAGCCTATTTTATTCCAAAGTATCGGGAACTATATGTATATAACTAAGTAATAGAAACAATTAAATAAATAACAATCTTCAAGTTAAAATCTAACTTGACAATTTCAAAGAGTTAAAATGTCTTTTTTATACTTTGTTATTGAGTATGAAACCATTAAAGTATAATAAAAAGTAATTACATGCTGGTACTGTAATTATATTAATTATATTTGCAGAGACAGAATTGAGAATAGAATTACCCCACACAAATGAGCTTCATTAGTGTAGAACAAATAGTTGCTGAGTAATTAAACCAAAAATTGGGATTGGTGGGCATTTTTTTAATTGAAGAAGTAATCTTCCAAAAGTGCGAAAAACTGGCTAACTTCATATTTTTTAAGACATACCACTTCACACCGACAAAATCAACAGTTAATACTACTAACCATATATAATATACTATACAAATTGATACACAAAATTAGTCTAAATAACAAGAGCAGAGTCGTTCAAACTGGTTTTTGGAAAATGCCACGAGACCCAAATTGGTTACGAAAATTTGCATGATGATTTAATATATTTAATTTTATGATGAAACCGACACTAAATATATAAAGAAACTGTAAACCGAATAAGGAACGATGATACGATTATTACACGTCATTTTCTTCTTGTGTTTTGTTGCGATTGCATGTGCTGGTGCTGTCAACGAGACTGAATTTAACACGGTGAATGTCTGTGGAGATGGTAAATGGGATGGGTACTATGAGCAGTGTGATAGCACTCCTGGGTGCACGAAGTCATGTTTGTGTGATCTTGGATACACCCCAGATCCCGAGACTGGGTTATGTAAAATGAGTTGCATCTATGGTGATGCTTGTGAGACTGGCTGTTTGAAGCCAGATACCTGTGAGATCTGTAATGTCGACAAAGGGTATGCAGCTGATTGTCAAGGGTGTAAAGATGGGTATATGTGGTTTGGAGAAGGCAATTGTAAAGAAATGCCTTTAAACACGACATTTTTGTCGTGTGGACTTTTCTTCAAAGAACTCTGGAATAACTCTGCTGTATCTGAAAAGGAAAGAAATAATTTCAATTTAGTAATTGGAAGTGATCAGTTCGATAAAGAAGGCAAAGTCTCAATTCCTTTGTTGCCAGACAATATTAAGAGTCGACTTCAAGTCACCAGATGCTCTCGATTGGTTGAACCAACAAAGCCATATACCTATGGTGTTTGGATACGAATACAATCAGACAAGAAGCAATATGTCTCTATTGAATTGGATAAGAAGTATTCGAGAGAAGAACTGATATTAGCATCAACTCAACAAAAGAAGGTGGGGAACTCAAGAGGGATGGTAGTACAAGAGGAGTGTCCTTCTACAATAGACATCAGTCAGTCTGTATATTGTGTCTATAGAAATGGTGGGTATTCCAAATATGTCCAATCACCAAGAATAGTTACTTCTATGGAAGCCGGAGCAATCCAATATATCTTTGTCCATTCAAAATACGCTGCTGAGGAAGTGGGATCTTTTGATATCTTCATTAACCCAATTGTCCACGCGTGTTCGTCGAGTTATAGTGACGTTGAGTGGAATGAGATGGCAAGCTCGTCATTTACAACGTCTTTGAATTTGCAGTACTCTATTCTGTCTACTTCTGTGTGCTCTATTGACCTCGTGAAAGGATTTTGGTTCAAAATCCCGGGCGCTGATGAGACTTTAGAATTCTCGACATGCAACTCTGCGTCTGAATATGATATCAACTTGGACTTGTTAAGAGTCAAGTTGGAAAGTTATGAGGGGCTGAATACCACAACTACTGATTTTACTATGGTCAACTGTGATGATGCATCAAAGGCTGAATGTGTCAGGACAAGAACAGACGGATGCAGTTCTACGTCTCGACTTGCTCGTATGGTAGCTTCGTTGAGCCATGAGTACGTCTATTTCTTGTTTGTTGGGATCAATGAAGAGTACTCCGCAACCATCCAATTGGATATCAAAACGACTTGTCCGCAGAACTGTGGAAGTAATGGTATTTGCTCTGCATATTCCGGGAAGTGTGAGTGTCTTGAGGGGTTCGTTCTTAAGGACAGTGTCTGCACAAAATGTGGGAATGGTGTATTAGATGAGAACGAAGACTGCGATTTGTCAGTACCTGGCTATATTGATCCGAAGTGTGATTCTACTTGTAACTGCAAATTTGGACATGAACCAAAAAGTATTGGAGGAGTGACAAAGTGTGCTGTACCAACTTGTGACAACAAGCAGATGGATGAATACGAACAGTGTGATGGTGGGTTTGGATGTGACCACTGTGTTTGTTTTTTTAAATGTTTTAAAATTTTTTAAAAACTTTTTAAATGGATCAGTGAAGTCGAAATGCAATTTATTTGAATATAAAACTCATCGAATAGGTCTGTGTCAATGGCACCAAGAAATACGCAAAAGCGAGATTTGACTGTATGTTGGCGACTTGTGGTAATAAGAAGTGGGATAAAGGAGAAGAATGTGATGGTGGAGATGGGTGTGTAGAGTGTGAATGTCAGCCAGATTGGTTTAGTCAAAACCAAGCTGATTGTACACGACTTTCGTACTCATTAAGGAACTTTTTATTCTGGGGTATTGGGTGTATAGCATATCTTTTGTTATACCTCTTATTGTTGTTCTTGATAGTCATTTTATACATCAAGTTAACTGGTAAGATCAAGAAGGAGTTGGATGATGAGAAGTTGGTCATCTTTGAAAACACCATCATTCCATTTGATAAGACCAACTCGCAGTATATCGACTTGAGACAAGAGAACCCATACTTCACTTTCTCGTCGAATAACATCGACTTTGGGGATACAAGGCCTGAAATTAATGAGCCAGTCACAACGGATATTACACTCACAAACAACTGGAAGGAGAACATGCACTTTACATTCCACTCTGGTGACTTTGTGAAGTACGAAATCATGTGTAAACCATTCACTGGGACTATCAAGCCAAAAGAACAAGTCAAGTTATCAATTACTTTCATGGCAAAGTGCACTACCATTTTGAACGAGAAGGTCCCAATTACTCTGAGATATGGACAACTCCAAAACATCATGAAAGACATCAAGAAGGAGAATCCAAATTTAATTGCACACGCTTCACAATCCTCACAAAACTCCGAGAGTGATAACAAATCCAAATCATCGGGAGCTGGATCCAACAAGAATAGTCACCCGTCACATCCAAGTAATAACCCCTCCAATCCATCGAAAAGCACTCCAAGTGGCTCAGGCAAAAGTGACTCCGACGACTCAAAGAAGAAGAAGAAAGGGAAGTCTAAAGTGTCCAAATTCCATGTCTACTTGAACTTACAAGTCGAGTCTGCGTTGTCCACTAAACTTGATTATGAAGAAATTCACTTGCAACACCCCCCTATTGGAGGTGGAACATTTGGTATCGTCTACAGAGCGGAGTGGAGACGAGTCGATGTTGCCGTCAAGGTCATGAAGACTGATTTGGTTGGTTTGGCTGAGTTGTTACCAAACTTCATGCAAGAGGCTGAGATGATGGAGCGTATCAGATGTCCATACATTGTCAATTTCATTGGAAGTGTCGTGACGACTGATACGTTGTGTTTAGTCACTGAATTCTGTCCACTTGCTTCTTTAAGAAAATTCATGAAGGTCAACGCTATGACTGATTTACTCAAAGTCCGATTCTGTCAAGATATTGCAAAGGGTATGGAGTACTTGCACCACAACGACATTTTACACAGAGATTTGAAGACAGACAATGTGTTGGTCTACTCGAAGAATCCACACGACCCAATCACCGCTAAAGTCACTGATTTTGGTACCTCAAGATCATTCATTGAATCGTCTGGGAAGATCGAATTGCAGAACATTGGTACTCCAGTCTACATGGCGCCTGAAATTAATAAGAAGGATCAGATGACATTAAAGAGTGATGTCTACTCATTCGCTATTTGTATGTTGGAAATCTGGTTGGGGAGAGACCCATACGATCCAGCCAAATTCCCCGATTCGGAGTCTATTCTCAGATTTGTCGGTGCGTCTAAAAGACTTGAAATTGCAGACGACTGTCTCTTCAAGAATATCATTCAACAAAGTTGGAAGAACAAACCAACTGAAAGACCGACATTCAAGGAAATTGGTACTGCACTGGACTCCATTCAGAAGAAGTTGAACGACGCCTCAAAATCAGACTCAAAGAAGGATCACTCCGGTTCAACTGGGACGGGAACAAATACCAAAGACAAGAGTGTCTCGTCTTCTGAGAAGAAGAACACTCAAGAGAATACAGACAACACCAATACTAATACTAATACCAACACTCAGGAAGAAAGTATTGAAGCTTCAGTCTCTTCACAAGTTGCTGGTGATGAAGAGTAACCGTTTTAATTCAGTCGTTTTAAGTTGTTTTGTTGTTTGTTTCAGTGCTTTTGAGTATCAATATATAACTATTTATAGAGATTTGATACATAAAAATGAAGTAAAAACAGTTGAATTAAATCAATATAACAAATTAGAACCCTTTGTATATGATCTCAAGCTGCTCGACTATCTTCTCGATCTTCCAACGCTCCGCAGACCGCGGACACCACGAGTTTGTTATCACAGTGAATATCCCGTCCGACACATTATCTGGTTGTGGAAGTCGTTTCCCACTCGTCACAAAGTCCGCGACGTCCCAGGGGTGCTTAAATCTGTTCGCTGGGAACGCCGGAGCCCAGCTTGCTACTTCGAGCATCGTCATCGCAAACGAATAGATGTCTGCCGATAATTTATAATTCATTTTGTCGAGGATCTCTGGCGCCATATACGTCGGTGTCCCAATCCCTTTCGTGAAGGTCATGTTCGTCAACATCATATTAATATTTCTTGACGTCCCAAAATCAGTGAGTTTGGCGTTCACAGGGACATCCTCTTCAATTGATGGTATCAAGAAATTGTCCGGTTTAATGTCTCTATGTAAGATCCCATTGTTATGTAAATATTCAATTCCCTTTGCCGCATCGATCATGAACTTCACCTTCATCTTCTCACTCACAAAGTCCTCAGAACGCTTTTTAAGCAAATCTTGGAGACTTCCATACTTACAGAACTCCGAGACCATACAGATCTTATTTGGAATGAAGACGGCTCCATAGAAGTGCACTAAATAGTCACTGCGAAATTTGTCGAGCATCGCAACTTCTTTACTAAACTCCTCTAACCCTTTGTTGTCCGTCGCACAGTTCTTCATCTTCTTAATGGCTACATCGTACTCCCGAAATTTGCCTTTAAAAACAACGCCAAAAGAACCTTCCCCAATTTTTTTCTCTTCTTTTAACATGTCATAGTCTAATCGGGTTGTGAGTTGGGTCTTTAAATGGACGTTAATCGGCACTTCATATTGTTGCGCCTTTCTCATATCGAGTGCAATTAACATGATCTTCTCATGTAAGTCACACGTGCAATATGGAGTGATGAAGATTTGGAATTCACAGGCTCGTCCTTTCTTTAATGTAATAATTTGTGGGTCGGTTCGAATAGAGTATTTGTCTGTACCTACTTTAGTGGAGAGTTGCACTTTCAGGAGTTTCGTCTTTTTGTTGCCAATACACAACAAGTCCCGAGACTCAACTCCAACAGGGACTAATTCCCCATCAGAATCAATAAGAAAGTCCAACACCTTCTTATTAGATACCAAGCCACTTTCTGTGTTAATCGTTTCAAAAGACACATTCGTGTGTTTCATGTCAAACTCGCATATCTTCGCCTCTTTTTGGAGCTTCTTCTTTCGTTGATAGATATAAAACACAAGTATGGAGATAAGAATAAACAGAAGGACGACTAACACAAAGACTCCAATGATCGGCACACCAACAGCTAAAAAGAGATTGGTGTGATACAAACACTCCGTCTTGTCAGAAGACAAGTCATAATTGGTACCAACACATCCAGTGCATTTATTATCTGCTTCTCCCGTGCATTGTGGGATATCTTTATAATGTTTACATACTGCTGTATTGCCACTTACACGAACAAGAACATATCCAGACGAGCAATTGGTGCACTGTGATGAAGTTGCACATGAAACACAATTGGAGCCACACAACTCGCAAATCGAGTTTTCATTCACAAAGAACGTCTCCTCACATGATTTACACCCATTCATAGTAAACAGTGTGCAATTGGCGAATGTCGAGTTGTGTACACATGTGGTACTCCCATCAACATTGTTTCCACGAGTTATGTACCCACCTTCAAAGTTGCATTCAGTGCAGAATGTGCTGTTCTTGATACATTGTAAACACTCAAACGCACATTTGTTACAGTCTCGATCCTTCCAATAATACCCACTTTTACAAAACGCACATCCATTCGATGGAAAGAACGTTTCACACTTCTCAGCAAGCTCACCTAGACCGACACAAGTCATCGTGTTCTCATTGAGAGTCATTCCACTGTAACATCCAACACACTGCGAAGGCGAATTCCCACACGTCCGACAATTTGCATCACATCGTTCACATTTCTTTCCACTCACGTAAAACCCATCATCACATCTAATACACCCACTCGCACCCATCACTTTACAGCTCGATATTTTCGCTTCACTGGAACACATCACCTCTCCCGTCATCTCGTTATACCCAAATTGTAAATCAGAGTCGCAAAGAACACATCGACTATTAAATACAGCAGCACACCCATCTAATGGTATCGTGGAACAAACACTTTGTGAATCAAGAGACTTGCCACTTATACATTGAATACAATGCCCATTAGCTGTACTGCTGCAATTGACTTCATTTGGTAACAAACACCTCCCGTTCATCAAAATGAAAGAAGATGAACACACAAAACAGTTCCGATTCCAATCGCACAATTCACAGTGCAATGGACAATCGGAACAAATTCCACCAATAACAACACTCCCTTGTTCACACACAGAACACGTGTTATTTGTTTTTGTTAAACAATTCAGTGACTCTAAACAGTCTCCCTTCATATCGTTATACTCATTAACACACGTTTTACATACACCAACAGTGGTACACATTCCACACCCTTCACATATTCCACACGTCGGAGGGTTCGTTGTTGTCAATCCATTCCCATAGGTACATGACAGACACCTTCCTTTCTCTTTCAACATACAAGTGTCCTCTCTCTTCATTTCATTTCTCATTGTGGAAGTCTTTTGTGTGTAATAGGGTATACATTGTTCTTCGTTTAAAGTTACTTCATAAGCACCACATTCATCCGTTGTCAACGGAAGAGGACATGACCCCGTCTGTGTAATCCCACTTCCACATGTCTCGCACCCGATATTATGGATCTCTTCAGTCTCACATTTATCAATGTTTTTCAACACATGACAAACACCCCCACGAAGGGAGTACCCTTCTTTGCAATCAACACACGTCGAGGTCGTGCATTTCGAACATCCATCATCACAAATTGTACAAACACCATTCAACTGAACTTCATTTCCGCAAGGAATACATTGCCGGTCACTCTCTGTCTTCAACGAGAATCCAGAGTGACATAACAAACACACCAATTCATTGATATTGAATATTTCATTTGTGAGTGTACTATAATTACAACTGTAACAGTTGCTCATTTGAAGTGAACATAATGACTCAGTGGAGTGACTCGATTTGTAATGTCCAATAGAGACTAAAGCACAATGTCCAATGGTATCAACATAATGGTATGCATCACACACATCACACTTCACAGCGTCGCCAGATAAAGAACATTTCTCACAATAAGGTATTGAGACAGAACAAGAAGAACAACTGTTGTTTGTGTTAATGTGATATCCCACTCCACATGAAGAACATGTTTCTTTGTTCGTACATGTGAGACACCCTGTCATTGCCGTGTCGCACGAAAAACATGTTGTTGCTTCCAAATAGTATCCACTTCCACACCCAGTACACTCCGTTGTATTTTGTGAGCACTCAACACAATGAAGTATTTCACTACATTTGTAGCATTCCGATAGATTCAGAAAATAGCCCTTAACACACTCTGTGCACTCCGTTTTGTCAAGGGCGCAGTTATTACAATTTGCATCTTTACATGTAGTGCATCGAAATGTGGTTTGATCGACTCCACCTTCTTTGCACACTTCACATTTCGCTTCAGTGTTGCTACAGTTGAGACAGCCGTTCATTGAACTGCATGGATAACAATATGCAGTGGATGGGTAATTGTTTTCTTCACACTCCAAACAAGTGGTTGATGTACAATGAAGGCAATTTGATGAACATGGCAGACATGCGTCATTGTATAAATATGATGCTTTCGTTGCATCACACTCTGTACACACTTTAGATGTCGGAGAACATGAACTACAATTCGTTATCGTGTCACATGTCTTACATGTCTTGTCCGTATCAAGGTAATTGCCCGAAACACACTTGGTGCACTCCCGTGATGTTGTAAGACAGCTCTCACACCCAGTGATTGTGTCGCATGCTTTGCATGTAACACCATCAATGAAATAACCCGTATTACAAGTTGAACATTCCGTTGTACTCGTACATGTTTTGCAAGTTCCTTCTGTGTCTATAGAGCAACTATGACACATCAAATCGCTCCCTCTATAATACCCACTCTCACATGTTTCACATCCAAACGACGTAGCGCTGCATAATAAACAATTTGCGAGTGTACATTCACTACAATGGTTTCCTCCAGTCGTGTTTAATAAAAGAGGCGAGTCACACTCAATACAATTAAAGTCGGAGTCACACGTTTTGCAATTTGCAGTGATTTGTTCACATGATTCACATTCAACAAAATCACCTTCAACCTTCGTCGCTTTGTATCCATCTTTACATGTCAAACATTTCGAGTCAGTTTGACTACACCTTTCACACCCATTAATAGTTGTGCATGTCTCACACGTGTGTTGGTTTGTGAGGTAAAACCCCAACTCACATTTATCACAACTCTTCTGACTCGAGCAGATTTCGCAATTGGGAAGATTTGTCGTGCATTTTTGGCACCCCAATGAATTGAGATAATACCCATCAGCACATGTTGTACACGTTGGAGATGTTTGGAGACACTCCACACACCCATCTATATCCGAACATGGGTTGCACTTGTTCTCATACGACAAATAAAAGTTGTCTTTGCACTCACTACAACGCGTCTGACCGCATTTTAAACAGTTGGTATAGTAATTGTTACATACACTGCATTTCCCATTTAAAGAGTAATGAAACTCATCACAAGTGAGACACTTGTCATCTGTGTTTTTGCACTCGTTGCACCCTTCAATCGAGCAAGCACTGCATTGATAATCAAGAAGAGTGTAATTTTTTTGGCACAGTGTGCATCTCTGGACGTATGAAACACCATAACAACTCATACAATTATTTGTACATGGAGTACATGTGTTTAGTGAACTAATGTAATACCCTTCATTACACGATGAACACACGTTGTTAACAGCAGACACACAATTTGAAATCGTCGTGTATTCAACACAAGTACCATCTGCTGTTAATATGTAGTCAACATTACATGTTACACATGTTTTATTGTTCTGAAGAAAACAGTTTGGTAACTGTTTACATATCCCATCTTCAAGGTAATACGTCGATAAACACTTTGTGCAATTTCTATAGACCATATCCATTACCGTCGTTGGAACAACATTTGCACATTCAACACACCCAACCATATTTGAACATGGCTCACAGAGTGTTTCTGATCCTGATGGGAAAAACCCCTTTCGACAAGCATCACAGTAATATTTGTTATTATTTGATTTTTGACAAAAAGAACACGCTTCCTTTCGTTGTTCACACGTCTCACAATGACCAACTGTCGTATTCTTTGAAGTATCAGCATTACACTTCGAACAACTCTTAGAATATGTTGTATCACAATTCACACTATACTTTGATACACAAACACTTCCAAACTTTACACTTGACCAAGTGCATGATTCAGTCTTAATACACCCAACTCCAATTAGTAAATAAGAAATTTCGCATTGAATGCAATACGAGTTATTGGATAAAGTGCAATGCGCATTTTCCATTTTTACACACTGCGTTTTCTCTTTGTTAAACACCGTCGTGCTATTGCAATTAATACACCTCCCAGAGTCAGGTAGACACCCTTCATCACCACATACCTGATCACAACTCACACACTTTCCATTACTTTTAAAATACCCGAAGGTACATACTGTGCAATATGTAGAATTTGAACATGAAGTGCAATGATCCAAAACTGTAGAACACAACTGACATTGTTTTTCTGTTCCTTTGAAATACATCCCATCTTCACATACACTACACTGATCTTTATCATTACATTCAAGACATTGGTCTACGTTACATTCTTAAGGTTAATCGATCTCCATACTATATAATAATACAAACTATAACATATGTAAGTATTCGATGAAAAAGACCATTTGGCATAATATCCTTTGATGCATGAATCACATTTCTCTGTTGAACCTTCAAAACGACAGGAATCACAATGTCCAGAACACGCTGCTTGTCAAATAAAATTTATTATGGTTATACAATACAAACCTACACATTTCTGGGGAAAAAACCCTTTAAGACCATACCCATTTATACAATTGTAACACCCTTGTGATGTGCCACACCCATCCTTACATGGACCAAACGATTCAGTACAGTCTTCTTGTCACTCCACTTCACTGATTACACGACTAACAAACTAATACATCCATTGTTGTTGGCATTTAAATAATACCCTACTTTACAGTTATTGCACTTATCCGACCAACAACTTACACAATTCGATATTGTTGGACAGTCTCCTTTCACTCTACTTGTTGTGTTATTAAAATAAGAAGAACTACTTTTATTCAATGACAAGTGTTCATCACTCAACAACTCGCTGTTATCCAAAGAACGAGTGACATTTCGCTGTGTTCTTGTTGTTGATAGAATAACAGGAATACAAAGAACGAAAACACAGAGCATTTTTGCGTTTTGAGTTGTATACAAGTTACTCAGTTTGTTCCATTCATTTTTTTAGTAAAATTTAATTCATTTATTAATTAGTTATTAATTACCAAGTCGATCAAAATCATAACATTTTTTTCTATTACCAATTCTTACTAATATGGTACATTATAGTTGATTACTTTTTAATTCAAAAGAAGTGACAACGAATAATTCTTTACAAAAAGAAATGATTGGCTCATACTACTTTTTTTACAACAATTCTACTGTGCTTCAATTGTATATTGTTTTTTACTTATCTTGTTAAATAGTTTTAATTACTATATATAATAGTTTAAAGGAAATAATCTGGTTTTATTTTTTGGACAAGTGTTCTTTTTTTGGAATTATAAAAATGGAAACTTGTCTTTTGTTTCTATATAGTTTATTATTAATATTATATAGTACATCAACTCAATCTATTTTTTTACATATATATGTTTGTCTAACGTGTATATTTATTTATTTATTTATTTCAGTTGTACGTTATTCTTGCGTTTCTTAATAGTATTTTACTTATAAGTAATATACTATAAATATAATTATTTTTACTAATCTTAATAATAAAATGTGATGATTTTTCAATACGAACGATAGTTAATTTTTTTTACTAACTATCGTTTTATTCAAGTTTAGTTCCTTAAGAAAAGATAAAATTATAAATGAAT